GATTTAGCACAATTGGATTTCCTGCTTATTTAGACCATTCAAGGCAGCACTGCAGTTCTGATTTTATTGTGGCAAGTGAATTTTTTGCCATAGAAATAGCCAATAGAGAGAACATGTTCAGAATAACCTAAGTTTGAGTTTAAAATATTTATTGAATAACCACTGAACAAACTGGTCTATTGTGGCTTACAGTATAAAGTTTGATCTGTGGACTGCATTCTTCAACTCCTTTCTTGTAAAAAGGGAATCATTTCACATTGTGTACTAAATATTCAGAAAAAACTAAATTTTTAAAATTAACTTTTTCCCCTTAATATATAATTTTTCAATAAATTGTTTCTCAAATATTTGGTCAGCATAGCGTAAGTTTGTCTTTACAATTGGGAGTTTTTTCCACCCATCTTAAATCTTTGTGCTCAACTAATTGTTTCAGATCTAATGTGATTAGACCTCAAACAATTCCTGGATTGTCCATAAAGCTTGATCTTTATTATCCTTTCATAAATCATAGAGAACCAAATGAAAATATTGGATTTTTTTTCTTTTCACTTTATAATCTGCATTTTTTGTTTTTAAAATCATTACTACTGTTTTATCTATTTTTCCTTCATTTTTTATTTTTACAATTTTATTCTTGTTTTTACTTCTTTTGTTACTGAACTTTTACATTCTAACTGTAGCTCGTTCTGTTCTATTTCTTTTAATGCAGTATATTCTGTATAAACATAAACTGTTCAAAATAAAACTTGAATGCCACAATTTTGTTTCTGAATGTTTAAGTTGAGAGTATATATACAGTGGTGCCTCGTATAACGTACGCCTCGAATAACGGACTTTCTGTTTGACTGTTACGTGACTTGAGCAACGGACTGCTGCGAACAACGGACTTTCCGTTCGGCAGTTACGTGAGACGAACAATGGACTTTTATACAGTGGTGCCTCGTATAACGTACGCCTCAAATAATGGACTTTCTGTTTGACCGTTACGTGACTCAAGCAACGGACTGCTGCGAACAACGGACTTTCCGTTCGGCAGTTACATGAGACAAACAATGGACTTTCTTGGAACAAGTGCGGATGATGTTTCCACTCTTTTGCCGTTGCCAATGACAATCTGCTATTTTTAGGATATATTATACTAATAATACATTCTAATAATACTATCTGAAGTAGAAATGTAATGTAATATATGTTGATGATTTAAATAAACATTAAATGTAATGTAATACAGTATATGATGAAGATTCAAATAAACGAAATGTAATTGTGTAGATGCCAAGGTGGCGGGACGAAAAGAGGTTGTAAAAAACAAACGGAGCGAGAGTAGCTCGTAGAAGTGTTTAGTGATCTTAATTAATAAAGAATTATTCGTATCATATAATCTGGCAAGTTAAGTCATTTATAATGCATCATGGCTTCTAAAAAAAAAAAAAAGAAAGGTGATTTCAATTGAAACAAAGCAAGAAATCATCAGGAGTGAAAGTTGACAAAAACTTTCTTGTCGAATGGGGAGAGGTTCAGGAGTTTACCAACACTCATTATCCAAACAGAGCTGAGGCCAACAGGATCAATGATCTCTACGATGACACCTTTGTCCGTCATTTCCGACAGGTGTTAAAGAAGAAAGAGAAACAGACCACCTTGGTCATGTTTTTCAAGAAGCCAGCGGGCAAAAAACAAAGGATGGAACAAGAGAAGTTGACCCTGCAAGTTCCGGTAGCCTCTCCTGAATCTGACTCCGATTAAAAAACAATAAAAAAAGACCCGCTGCAATGTGTAAAAAGTCTGTATCTGTATGAATGTGTAAAGAAAGTGTTCTTCCACCTCCTCCTCACAACATCTGACTACCCGGCATAATTGGTGTCTGCTCCATTTTCATTTTTTATGGTACAGTACGGTTATTTTATGCTGCGGAACGAATTATATGTTTTAACATGTATTTCTATGGGAAAATGCGTTTCGTATAACGGACGTTTCACTTAACGGACGTGCACCTGGAACGGATTAAGTACGTTGTACGAGGCACCACTGTATATATCTCTGCAAATTTGAGATGATTTTTTTTTGTCAAAGTAGAGTACAGGAGTTTGACTGTATTACAGCTTACCTAGTCTAGAGTAAGCTTTATTTCCAATATTCTTTTTATGAATTTGTCATATTTCTGCTTTTTCTAGATAAGAATATTGAAAGTTTTTATTTCAAACTAGCTACAAGGACCTGCTTCGCTGGGTTTTTATTTGTTTGTACATTTGTATGTAATATAGTTTTTTTTATGTATAAAAGACTGTTTTTCTAAGTAATCTAGAATCTAGCTGCAAGGACCCGCTTTGCTGGGTTTTTATTTGTGGGCAAAAAGTAACGATAGTGAAGATTAAGATAATTACATTATAGCCAATCTTACCCGTTTTCACAGAATGCAAGAATTAGGTCCCCCGTTTCCAGACTAATTAGAGAATTTTTACGTTTAGTCAAACGAACTATTTTCAACGTTTCTGGAACGTTTACGATTGTTCTATAATCGAACCAATGTTCGAATTTTATGTTCGAATTTAATTTGAATTTGTTTGAACAAATTCGAACAAAACATTTGAAATAGAAAGCCACTTTCAACCACTTTCAAGCCCATATCTCCCGCACCCTTATAGCTATTGAGACGCAACCCCCCTGGTGCACGAATGGATACTTCGGGCTACTACCACATACAAACACCATTCACATGTGATGTGTAGTTTTGGTGGAAAAGTGAAATATAGGGACATGTCCATTTTTATATATATAGATTTCATTTGTAAGTCCATTTTAAAAATTCACAAATAAGTATTACTTTTATTAATCTTAAACTATAGGTCTTAAACTAGACTCCTTTTTCCCCTTCCTATAGAAATAGCCTGTAAATACAAAATAAAATTAATATACTTGTATAATTAGTCAAGTTGGGAGTAATTTTGACTCATTTTTATCAGATATTGGTGAACTAATGAGAATTTATCTTCTTGAAACAGCTTTCTTTTAATAGTCCATTCTTGTAAACCATATTTCTATAGCTTTGTTCTTAAGATTCACTAGCTTAATAATTCTGTACTGTTTAATGTAGTTTGATTAGGAAAACCTAAGATTTTTTTCTAAATCTCTTCTCCAAAAGCCTTTTAGCAATTTAATCTGATCTTCAACAGAACAAAATAAAATAGTCTTGGAAATCAAACATTTTTACATTAAATTTTAATTCTTCCAGTAAAAACTATTCTTAACTAATTTCTTAATTGGTAGATATTTGAAAGTTTTAATTTTGTGAAGAAAAAAGGTAAATTTTGAAAACTTTACTAAAAATTCAGGGGGGGAAAACTATAGCTAGTACAGAACTTTAATGTATAGTAATCAAAAGGCTCAATTTCTCAGGTATTCAACATTAATAATAAAAAGTACCCGAATGAATCATTTCTGTTTTGATTTAGATAAGATATAAAAATATATATAGTACAAAGATTAATTTTTGTCCTGATAGAACTTTTGTATGCAGTATTATTTGCATTAATTATTTTGCTGTTTTTTCAGTAATTATTACAAATTGTTGGTGGCTAATCATGTGGTAAGTTATGTTGAAAAATGAATATGCTTGATTTTAAAATAAATTTACTACTAGTAAAAATCACATCATTTAAATGTTCTATATTTGTGTATAAATTAAATATATAACAGACAACAAAAATAATCTGTACCAAACTAATTTTTATAAAAATGAACTTAATTATCAACCAATCCCTACCTGTCTTAATTTATCAAACACATTGCATAAGAGAAGCTTTTCAAATGTAATTTTTTTTTTATTGAATTTATGCAATTGAATCTCAATAACGCTTATTTTTATTAAAGTTATATCTAGTGCTGCTATAGTGTAACAGATGCATTTTATTCTGATAAAAATATCTATCTAGACAAGCTAACCTAAACATTTGATGTGGACATGCAGTTTATCTTAGATTTAACCTAACATATAAGTTGAAAAACTATTTACTAAAATTATGACATCATTATTTATATGCAGTAGTCTATACTAATATTATAAAGAGGTAATGTTTGTAAGTTTTGATGTAGCAGGTAATCTCCGAAACTACTCATCCGATTTCAAAAATTCTTTCACCAATATTTAGAATGGAACTTCAGGTTGGACATAGGCTATATATTATTCCGTTAAACATTCATGTAAATTAAAAGATATAATCTAGGTTAAGGCTTTTATGTCCAACAGATGGCGCTACGAGTACGACGCCCTAAGTTTGCTTTTCTGTGAAAATGAAGTAAAGCAGATCATCTATCTATCTATATGAATAAAAATGTGATGTTCGTTTGTTCCTACCGATTCCTTTGAAATTTTGACACAACGCTGCATTCGAATACGCACGTGTTTTTATATAACATACATGTCGAAATTCCCCCACTGGGGGGAGGTGGACAGGATTAATTAAGGCTTACCGTAAAGAACTCGGCTTCTATTATACTATTTTAGATGCAGTTTTTTGCATTTTTGATTGCGTTTTAATAGGGTACGTCAAGAATGTACACTAAGAAGGGATTTTTCGAAAAATTCCCCCCTCCCAAGGGGGAAGTGTTATACATTTATAATAGATACATTTTGAGCCACAACAACGCATGATGGGGTCTGCTAGTATTTAATAAAGTTACTTAATTTGAATAAGATCATCTAACTTTGAGATTTTCAGGAATTTGAATGGAGAATAAAAATTTCTGCTTATATATCCATCCATATAAGCAGAAATTTCTAAATAAATATGTCAAAATAAAAGGTCATTTTATGTCACATGCTAAATGAAAAATCTTTATTCAGAACAAATAATTCATATGAATAAAGTTGGTTTTTTCCTCTACTTTAATTCTTTACAATTTCCTTTAAATTTGAGAATATACAAGCAAATACTGAATACAACATAATTTATATGAAAATGTTATGTAAATTTATCATTAAATTTCAGATTTTTTTTCAGAATATGTCAAGAAGTATGCAACCGAAGAAGCTCTTAGAGAACAAGAGCAAGAACAATCCAGTAGTGAGAGTTCAATGAGTGATTTTTCAGATGATGAAACACAAGATATGGAACTATAACATAACAGAATGGGGAATTGGGATTGAAGGGAGGGGGGTGGGATATAGGGAGGGTAATTATGGGGAGGGGTGGGTGGGGAAATGTGTTCATAAAAAAAACCATCATGTGTAAATGACCATGTTGAAGATGGTTTAGAGGCATTTGTTACCATGAAGCTATTGATTTCAAAATCTTTTTGTTGTTGATACATTTTATCAAAATTTTAAACTAGATCTCTTACTTCATTCTGTTGTATTGTTTAGATTCCAAGCATAGTCTGTAAAATTAATACTTATTTAAAATAAAATATTTGAAATAGTTCTGGAAAATGTCAATTAAATATTACTGTTATTGATACGGATTAAAATATTTCCACAGAAACATTCCTGAATTATAGCTTGCATTTAACTTTATGAATATTATTTATTAAATATTTCATTCAGATAAATTTGTGTATCAAATGGCCTCATCCATCTTCATCTTCTGTTACTGTGGATGTTAAATCTAAATGATGTATTAATGGTAACTTCTAAAAACAGATCTGTTAATGTTCTGTATAGTAGTTCATGGATAGTTTCTTCATAATCAGTCAGTGTTACAAAAACTTTAGTGTTTTTTGCAAGATTTCATTGTGTAGGCAATATTGCCAGCAGATTTTCTTTTAGCATGCATGTGTGTGTGTGAAAATGTGTGAATGTCTGTGTTTAAAATGTAAAGAAAGAAACACTCACAATGAAATTCTTAGCCTTGTTGGTTATCTTGGATGTCCCACATTGTATTGCGGACATACTTGTATGTTATAGTTTGAATTGTAGGGTTGGGATTATGTAGATTTTGGTGTTGGATGTTATATTAGTAAAAAATTTAAGTGATTGATTCAGAGTTATTGTGAGATCAATGTTTATGTTGGTATGAATGAATTTTTTAAATTAGATTTCAATTGTTATTATCAATTAATCAGTAACAATAGCAAATGCTTAACTTTGTGCTGTGAATTGTTAAACGACAAAATTCTATAAGCTTGAATACACTGGACTGTTGATTTGTTAGAATATATTATCATTCTTTGTAAATAGATTTCCTCTTACAAAATTTGAAAGAAAATGCCATAATGTATGTATGTGTATGCTTCTTTGTCCAGAACCATATCACATTCAATATATATATATGCTCATATTTAATATAGTTTCATATTTTTTGTCTTTAGCATAACCAGAGAATTTTAAATGCTTATTATGTATGAAATACAAGAACTTTCAGTTTGGCTAATTATCATTATATTACATAAGTTTGAATGTTTGAATTTCATGATTGTCAGTCATACATTCATTACCATTAAATTTTTGATATTTTTGGTCAGACATAATCAGGTAACAAATTCAACCATGATTCATCTTATTGTTCTTGCCTGTATCTATAAAGATCTAATAAACACATAACAAATGGCTATTGCCTAGATTTTTATAGATCATATCAAAATATTTGATGTGAAAAATAATTTTTTTTAATAAAAAAAAAATAACATTTTTTTTCTCTATAAACTAATATCCCATTTTGGATTTATTTAAAAACTTCCTAATGAAAAATGTGACATTTTGCCATTTATATATTTTTTATTACTAACCATTTCTATTGCTTTCTATGTATGATGTGTAAATTCAACAATTGTGTATATAATCAGTTTGAAACTTAATTCTAAAATATTAAATAAATTATATTCCCAAATATATGCTATAAATTCCAAATGGGATATAATGTACATTTTTATGAATTATGAAAAATAAGTTTTGAATGTACAGTAACCATTTAATATATTTTTTTAGTATTCTATAAAATTGAGTCTTAAACTATTTGTTGGTATTAACTGAAACTCGATCACCGCTGCTCTTCAATACTAATTGAAAGCATTTTATCTATTAATGCCAAATTAACATCAGAGATTTTAATAGTACAGTATAGCTTTGGAAATTACTTAAGACAGGAAAAGAATTTATCGAATTAATAACAGGATCGACACGAATTTATCAGCTCGTTTTCAGAATTAAATTTTAAAAATATGTAAACACCGGATAAAAATATATACTGGAATAGCCGAAGATGCCATTTTTTAACATTAAACAAAATTTACGTATAAATCAAAAATCAATACAACTGTAATGAAGTGTGAAAATATCGATTCGTGTAACGTATTAACATAGAGAACATCATTACTAAAATTTAAAATCGTGTTACAATTAGTGTTGCAACGAATAGTATATTCGGCCAAACTATTCGGCTTGATTAACGCACGTACGAAAATTGGCGCGCAAACCTCATTATGGTAAGGACTCTGCTCTCTATTGGCACGCTGTCACTACGCTTCGCCAATCGCGTTAATTCTTGACAGTTGTAGCGGACAGATAAGCGCGTCATGGCAGTATGTGATAAATGATGATATCAAATGTGAATAACAATGAAATGACCTACACGTGTAAATGATGGAAAAAGAACAGAGTAGGACGGACCGCGAAGTGAAAATGTGAAAATAAATATGAAATTGAGTTGATAACATAATCGATCAAGTCGAAGCAGTTTATTGGCGCGAAATTTGCGGCTGTCAATGCCAAACAATTGTCATAGACTTCATTACAAGCATTTAGCTTTCCGAAGTCACTTAGCGTGCACGGGCGAAAGCCTTAGGACCGTTCGGGCTACCGAGCTGTCTCGAATCTGTGAAATCATAACTGTGACATACCGATGTCCTGTCTGTCTTTTTTCTCCGTTATCACCAGGTTATGAGTCACGTAATTATAAAATGGAAAAACTGCGACGGAAAAGTGACGAATCGAAAGTATCGTGAGCGCGTATTATGATGTATGCATAGGCATACATAGACTAGAGAGATAGAGGAAAGAGAGAGGGAAGAGCAAAGACGAGCGCTTAAGAAGGATAGGCAGGGTCAGACCCTCAGATATGTGCGACGATTCTCGAACGAGTAGCCCTGGATTACCCTAAATTGAAAGAAAACTCCGAGCTCGAGCTAAAGCTCGACAATCATCGAGCTCATGCTCGGATAAAAACAAAAGACGAACAAGTCTGACGCAGATCCCTGTATTATTATCGTAAAATAATCAGAACAATTCTTCATTTCTTGTTTTTAAAAATCTTAATAAAGCTTAACTAAAATGTCTTAGGATTTTTATCAGAGGTATTAATTTGCATCTGATATAGAGTGCGCCAATGGCATAAAGGTTGAGAAAAGCGAAATCCTACTCGGGTTTAATATACACCTGTGTGCCTAGCACCAATCTATTTCTTTAGCTTCTGTTGTCCTATCCCAGACATGGCCAACATACGGCCCGCAGGCCATATCCGGCCCGTCTAATGAATTTATGCGGCCCGCGATTAATCTTTCAATATTAGCTACTCAAGTTCGAATAGCTCGATGAAAAATTCTGACGCCTAAGAAAAAGAAAAGGCCGCCAACTCACTGTGCGTTTAGAACGTTCCATTACAAATCTCTTAAGTACAGCGTAGTGTGTGAATAAAGCATGATAATGTGAAAATGTATCTGTAATCTCTCTGTGCAATTTAGTCTGTACGGGGTGACACCACAATGAGATCTCGCACCACCTCAAAATCTTCCTAGGGCAGCCAATTCGACCCGTGAAAAAGATTTCTTTCCAATTCGGCCGGGGCAAAAACTGTTGGCCACACCTGTCCTATCCTAAACCTTTCCAGTTTTAGAGGAAAACATAACGGTTTTAGGCTAAAACTTTTTCCGGCGAAACTTGTGGCACGAGGCGTAATAGCATCAGATCAGAAAGCAGTTTTACCTTATATTTACCCTAAATATAAGACTATCCTACACATTATCCTCAGCCATTGAAATTACTCTAGAAACGGCAGCACTGTGTACTAGAGCAATAGATCGTTTAAGAATTTAAGGCGCTGTCCGGAAGAAAGGCAATATATTTGAACAGTTAAGACAGTTGTTTCATGTACAACTTCTAGAAAGTCACCTTAAAGTTTTTGAAAGAGGAATACGTATTAAAAAATCTATTGGTTAATTCGTTTTTAAAATAGTCATTACGTGTGTTTATTATTATTATTATATTATTTTATCTTGGCTTTGGAGGCGCTAGCGGACTTCGGATGGGGATGATATAGACTTACATTTGGGGAGCTCGAAACGTCGAGAAATGCAAAAAAAAATTTGGAGATAATTTTTGTACGTATGAGAGTTTGTGGGGGGGCATGGTTTTCTTCACCCTGTTTGGCGCGTAATAACTCGTGCTTTTTGTGGAAAATTTCTGAAATTTTGCCAAGAGGTTTGTTTATTAAAGGGATTGACGCTGTTAAATTTTGGTGATTAAAGGTCGCGAGGGTGGAGAGATAAAGGGGATCGTGTGTATCTTCAGTAAAGTCGGACTTAATGACGATTTTACTCTTTATTAGAACTTTTTTTTTATAAAACCTCATACCTACCTCAATTTTGCCATTTTATAATACATATATTAACCTACACCATGTTGAAATTCGTTCAAATCCTGGCAGGTCCTTGAGTACCCTTTCGTGGTCGCGCTAGTGCTGCCAGCTAAAACGCGCACCAACAAAAATAATAATGGAGTAGTATATAGACATAGCCACAGCACTAGCGGAAATTTAGATTTTCCGACTAGAAGGCTTTGGTTAATTGACATTCGGATAATCGAAGCTCTACTGTAGTTATCTTCGATAGATGTCGGTTCATATGGAATCTAGTGGCTACACGCCTTTACTCAGTGAGACTTTTGGGTGATCGCTATGCGACTGAAGAGTTGGCCTTATGGAATGGCCTAAATGCGCGCGGGGGAACTTTTATAAGAAACTAGCCCCTATTCGAGCGTCATCGACATGGAGAGAGCCTGGAAAACTCCATGCTGCCAGCCCGTCCGAGCGAGGCGCGAACCCCCAGTGTTCAGGGTCTAGTCCACTCAGGTGGGGGGACGAAGACCGCTCGGCCACTTATGGGCCATAGTAGTTATATTTTATTTTAAAAACTTTATAACAGATGGCTCCACTAAATGTTGCCGGGAAAGTTAAGCAACTCGTTGCTGGATTTTTTACAAAATAAATTGATCAAGGCTATTCAGCATTTAAAAACGTGATTTTATAGAGCTTAAATAAAAATTTCAAGAAAAGTTTCGAATGTCTTTAATTTGGTTTATTTAAAAATATTCGATTTTTAAATTATTTTTTTGAAACCAATTCTCGAAAACTGGAATCGATAAACGGTAGAATTTTTAATGTATTTAAATTATTAACTATTTTTAAAAATATACTAATTATAATATTTTTGTGAAGTAATTATTTCATTACATTCATTGCAGAATTTGTATTTATTTAATAATAGGTAATTTGAATAAATTTATTATTTGAAGATGAGGAAAATGAATTGAGAAAGGAATTTATGAATATGGAAAGACAAATGGCCATCGAAAACATAAAAAAATGGTATTTTGAACAGAGTAAACGCCATTCTATTTTGTCATATCTTCAAAGATACAATGCATCTGAAACATTAAAGAAGTGGTACAGCGTCAATTGGAAACGAAAATTCATCTTTCATTATTTACAAAGTCGAATAATAGCTTCGGTCAATAGCTTGGTTGAAGATAATCGAATTTCCGAGTATTCGATTATTAATCATTACAATCAGAATTGCGAATGCAACGAATTAACTTCCGGAGACGAAGACATTGGTAAAGAATTAAGAGCCGATAATTTCGATGAAGAATTGCAAAAAGACGAGGCCGTTAATATTCAAAAGGTAAAATATGACGATTCGCTTTATCCAAGAGGAATGTTTAAGGAGAAACTATGCGAGAAAATAACTTTGGAACAAGCAATCTTATCTTATTTAGATATAAATAAAAATTCAGAAATTCTTCAATATTGGTGTGGGGATTCGGAAAAAAGAAATTGTTATTCGACAACCAATTCAATATCTTGCTATTATCAGTAGCGTAGTGTAGGAGGGCGGCACTTTTTAGGGGGCGGCAAAATTTGACAATAAATAATAATAATATCTTGTAAGAATTTGAACCATTTTATCTCATATTTTCGTCCACCTACGAATGAAATGAGCACGGAATAGTAGTTAGTGTTACCATCCGACTCGCCGTCTGGGGATATCGTGCGCAACCTATCGACCTTTATTTTTATTTTATTTTTTATTTTTTGCTTGTACGATTCATTCGTACTCATATACACCTCCAATATCTAATAGGGCTAAGTCATCTAGATTACTTACGTTACTCCTACCCAAGTCTCCCTAGTCGCTAACTGTAACTGATTTAGAGCCAGCATGCACTGCAAATTATTCTTTATTGCAAAATGACATTTAAACACATGCGTCAGGAACTTCTGTTCGAACAAACCTCACCTGCCGTCACGATCGGCGATTTTAAAAAGGTGGCAACACTAGCACGGAATTTTTCATTACTTATTCTATGACGAAACTGAATTTTAGTCTTTTAAATTGAGATACCTAAATAAGGGGGCGGCGAAATTTTCCTCCGCCCCGGGTGGCAGACACCCACGTTACGCCACTGGCTATTATAACAATAAGCGAATGGTACAAATATAACAAAAACAGTATACCTAAAAGAAAGAGACAAATACTGATTAATGATGCATTCTTGGTGTTTCTAAAAAGAAATCGGGCTTCCGAAATACTGCAGGCTTGGTGTAAGAACAATGAATGGAAACGAAAATATGTTATAGAGCAATTAGAGACATGTTTAACTACAATGATTATAGAAAATTGGTACAGTATGTGAAAATGAATGCTTTTTCTAGATTAAATGGAAGAGATCTTTATTCCCAGAAAACCGAAGATGAATTTTCACCTAAAGATGATTTATTTCAGGATAAATTGTCGGTGAACACAGAAGATGAATTATCACAGAGCGGATTGACAATGACATCAAATATAAAATCGTCGAAAGGTAAAAGATACTGCAAGCCCAAGATGAGAAAAAAATGGTGTTGCAATGTGGTGTAAATAATCTAAGTTTAATTTATTCTGTCTATGAATTAAAAACTGAAAATTGATCATTGATTGTAGAAAAATTACTTTTAATAAAAATATTTACCGTATTTACTCGCATATAAGACGATCTCGCTTGTAGGACGAGGTGTGACTTTAAAGATCAAAATAAAGAAAATTAGATTTATTAATACAATTCTAATTTTATTTCGTTGAATCACAAATAAAATATCAAATGCACGTAAATGCACACATTGCCCCGCAAAAATTACTAGCATTTTAAACTTCAAGGAAAAATCTTGTAAAATCGACAACATAATTTGTTCACGTAAAGCTGGACAATTGGGAACGTTTTTTGTCAATTCTTAACAGTCGAATTCACTCTTCGTCGATTAAACTTGTGTTTCTCCGAATTCTGATTTCCACATAATCATCTGTTTTCACATGGGAATGGATTAAAACTTATATCTGGCTTCCTTGAACTTTTGGAATTCAATTCAAAAGCTTTGCTATTCCTATTGCTATTCATCTTTACTCTTGACAATATACAAGAACGATTCAAACGACCCATATAAAACAATTTTGTTTCTAAACATCAGAAGGCGAGAATCCGGTAAAGAGTGCTAATACACGGTTTACAAAAATTATTGCAAAAACGAAAAGAATTCTTCGCTCGCGCGTATAGGACGACCTAGGTTTTTGAAGCAGTGAAAAATGAATAAAAACCTCGTCTTATATGCGAGTAAATACGGTATATGGTTAAAATTTTCAAATCTATATAAATTATTGGAATGGAANTACTTACAGGACACGGCAACTTTAAGCAATACTGTACTTGCATAGATTTAACCTTGGGGACAATCAACAATGCGATTGTGGTATTCAGGAGGACCAAACACCACTTAGTTTTTTGCTGCAATAGGTACAATCACATTAGGGATAGTTTAAGGAGAGCTGCTATTCTTGAAGGGTACAACTGGCTTTGCAACCCGCACCAACTCATTCATACGCTTACAATGTTCCATCATCTACTCGCATTCATATCCCTTGGTGGGTTATTGAGAGCACTCACTCCGGGGACACGGATGGCAATTAGCTTTCCCTTGCTTTGTTTCAACTGTCGGTATGTAGCTGCCTTTTAACTTTGCATTTTAATTTTTATTTTCCGTCTTCTTTTTCAGTCTAAATTCAGTTGGTCCACCAGTGGCCAAGCGGTCTTCGTTCCCTGAACACTAGGAGTTCGGTAGTTGGTTTGCGCCTCGCTCGGATGGGCTGGCACGTGGAGTTTTCCGGGTTTTCTCGACGTCTGTAACGACTAAATAGGGGCCAGTTTCCCTTCAAAAGACATCCCGAAACTTGGGCGATCCCCCTAGACAGATCGCCCAAGTGTTGCGTTGCCATAACTTAAGAAAACAAACTAACTAAATAAATTCGGTTAGTTTAAGTTAGTCCTAGTTGTAAGTTAGATTAGGGACTCTTAGCTTGGTTTCCGGTTAGGTTAAATTAGATTAGGGTTTGTAAGCTTTAGTCGTCTAGTTAGATTCGTTTTAGGTTATAATAGGTTATTTTATTTAGTTAGTAAGTTAATGTTAAAAAAGAGATTGGGGTCTTGCTTGTTTATCTTTTGTCGGTCCGTTCGTCTCGTCTAGTTTGTCGTTGTGTTCGTTTGTTTTTCGCGCTGTCTATCTAGCTGTTAAATAGTATTAAGATTCGCGCTTGCGTTCAGTTTTATTATTAAGCAGATATAAGTCTTCCTACTATCAGCCACTTGCACCAACTTCTACACTTAGCTATTCGTGGCGGTACTCAATTATTGGTGTTCGCTACACTCAGGTTTTCTTTTAGATCCTTCAGGGACTACGGCCTTGCAGCCTAAAAAAATGCACGTCAACATCACATCAAACGTAGAGGGTACTGTAGCCATGCGTACGCCGTTCAGAGGAATCTTACCTTTCTTACTGTCTATCTCCTCTTCCTCCTTTTTCTCCTCCCCTTTCTCTTACCCTCTTTTTTGCCGGCTAAACACCTCGTGTACAGCTGAAGTCTTTTTTATATCCATGTGTCAGATTTGCCGATTTTCGAGGGTCTACTTCTGTATCCTGCCAAACGTTTGTAGTAAGTCGAAATACCTTGTTCGAAAGATACTTTTTTCTTAGTTTTTTTAGTCTTCAGTTGCGAAATTTCAGGTTTTTCTACGAAGGGGTTGCAGAAATATATCGAAAAGTGCAAAAATCGGTAAAAACTACTGTACTTTTTTTTTCAACAGGCATTGCAGATGCTACTAGAGAGAAAACTACCTGGTCTAGAAAGCTAAATTTTACACTTAAAAAAGTCTCTCTCGTTAGCGGTGAAGTGACGGCCAAAGTTCCGGGTCGATAAGTCAAAGTATTCGGGGGTTTCCTGTAGAGCTACTTTACTTTTATTGCTTAGATTTACACTTATATGCAATGATAAAATTGCATGGAAACGAATTATTTTCATTCAAATGATATCCAGAATAACAAAGGTTCAAATTTATGCCAATTAAAACATTTTACAACTATTAATAGGACTTACTATACTGGTGTAGTTTCTAATTAGCAAAAAGAGGAAGTTTCGACCAAGTTTTATCTTTTGACTAAGACTTCCTCTTTTTGCTAATCAGAAACTACACCGGTATAATAAGTCCTATTAATAAACAAGGTCCGAGAAGACAATATAGAAACAAAAAAGTAAAACAGTAAGGACATAGAGGTAAAAGGAATTAACTATTTATAATTACAGATTGAAAAAATTTTTATTTTAAGCTAAAGATGATGATAAAGAGAAATTGATAGGAAATACAGTAGACCCCCTATAACACTGTTGATAATTACACATATGTGTGCCGGGCTGTGAACGGCTCACGTGTTTGTAAAATCTAAGTGATTCGTACAACATGGAATTCATATAACACGGAATTATAGGGGTTATAGAGGGTCGAATGTACATAGTATTAAGTCCGGTTTGCATGTGATTATTTGCGGCGGACATGGACGTTATAAATTTCACGGCTAGCTCTGATGACATCGCTCACCATTAGACGAGCCATTGTAGCGGTAATTACATCCACAATAGTTGCTGTCTTGATGCTGTGGTTGAGGACAACAAGATCTGGTCTCAAGTTACTGTTCATAGCCTGGCACTTATTGGTTGGAGTAGATGGTCAAGCGGGAGGTGTTGATGGCTTGTTTCAGTCGTTGTAGAACACCGTTGTACTCTTCTTTCACCATGTTTGGATGGCAATGATTTAGTACATGGGGCGGAGCCATTGTCATTTCCAAATCTGCGATTTTCGTTTAGTGGTACTATACCCAACCTTGCCTTATGGATAAACCTCCAATCGGCAAAGCTGGTATATCTGCCATTGGGCAGGAAGTGGTTCCCAGCTCTGTTGTTGGCGACCAGGGTAAAACGCTTTTCCCTGGTCAGGTTTTCCTAGAAGAGAAGAGAGGAATTTACCCTGTAGTAAGGAAGACAAAATTGTGCTGCAATTATTACACTTAATGTTGCTTTGTCCTACGATAATGGCTGGGAGGCCGTCACATTGTGTCCATTTGATGTCCATTTTCTTTATTAATCTGCGGGTTACCATAGGTAGTCTGGTCCATACTGATGTAATATCAGTGGGGGCTGATCCAAATTCGTTGTTCATGGATCCATTTAAGTATTAACACAGATCGCCAATTGATGGTTCTCTGTTGATTCGCTTGTGGACAACTCGCAGGGTCGAGAGACAGATACTGGATACTGTTGGGTCCCTTGATTGGATAAGGTGAAGGGCACGGTTCAGCCGAGAGATATCCGCGAGATCGCTGGATGGAATGATGTTGGCTCCACCCCAGTGGTGCCAACATCATTCCATCCAGCCTCTCGCACTAGCACGCTAGGGGAGGTAGAGCCAGCGTTTGACGTACCTAGTGACGGTTTTGTCTATGGTGTGAAGTGTGCGTTTCGGGGCGCTGCCCATTAAGAGGTTGAATGAAAACTCTGGCAGGATGAAGGTCCTGATAGCGTCAGCCTTCTGCCACTGAGTTAGCTAAACGAGATCTGTTGATAGTGTGGAGTTCCTTCTATTTTACTAACGGCGTATCGAAAGCGTTGAGTTGGCGTGGCCGAGCGCCGACCGAACTATCTTAGGTCTCGATGTAATAACAAATTCAAACAAAATCGTGAGAGATGTAAAAAATTGCGCCAAATAAAAAATTACGACAATTTGGATGACAGTCAAATCTCGGCCTTCGAAGCGAAGTGTAAAAAAAATGTTAGCCTGATACAGATAAAAATCTTGTGGGTACCGCTTGGAAAAGCCAAGTTTATCTTGGCACTAACCAAGGACTTTAAACTACAAGGATGGCCAGATCCCGTATATTTGTTAGCATGACCTTGGATCTATGTGACGTCACAGCAAGTCTTCTACTTCAACATCACAGACCTTTCAAATAACAAAATACGATAAAATATTAAATCATTTCTTAATTAATTATTAAATTACTACTAAATGTAAACTACTGTAGAATTTTCGGATTTAATAAGTGTACTGTACGTCAATAAATTTACAAGTCTTTTGTCTAATATTTATTTAACAAATTAATGAGCTATACTTTTTAATATGTGATTATCTTACTTAACTTTTTAATTTTTTTTCGACAATCACCATTTTCAGAAGGCATTCTTTTCAATATTTTATAGTTTTCTTGTTTAAGATTTCTATAATTAATTCTTATTATAGTTCTTAATTTACAAAAATCTTTTATTAAAGTAAAAGGTAAAACTGTTTCCACTGACTAATTCTGTACAACTCCGGGGCCTTTTTTATACGATTCATCGTGATATATTTCGAAATATTTATTCCATTCTATAATTTTTGCTAGCCATTCATCAGTAGGTTTAATAAGCCCTCCATAAGATAAATGTTGCACCCATGACGGAATGCTATAGTTGTAATGATTTTTAATTTTGTTAGTGGAATTAATTAAGTTTGGGTATTTTTCTTTATATTTATAGGCAAAATATCCTGCTATATACTCGAGAGCATCGTAGGAAGTTTCTTCAGAGATTGTGTTAAAGTCTAGATTGCATGTAGAGTTTCCT